GTTAGGATGATTAGATGAGTGAGTAGATGAGTGATTGAATAAGTTAGTGAATGGATGTATGAGTCAGTGGATGAGTGAGTGGATGGATGGATGGATAGATGAGTAAGTGGATGAGTGAGTGAATGGGTGGATAGATGGGTGAGTAGATGAGTGATTGAATAAGTTAGTGAATGGATGGATGAGTTAGTGGATGAATGAGTGACTGGATGAGTGAGTGGATGGATGAATAGATGAGTGAGTAGTAGAGTGATTGAATAAGTTAGTGAATGGATGGATGAGTTAGTGGATGAATGAGTGAGTGAGTGAGTGAGTGGATGAATGGATGGATAGATGAGTAAGTGGATGAGTGAGTGGATGGATGGATAGATGAGTGAGTAGATGACTGATTGAATAAGCTAGTGAATGGATGAGTGAGTGAGTGGATGAATGAGTGACTGGATGAGTGAGTGGATAGATCAATCGATCGATGGATGGAAGGATGAATGATGGATGGATGGATAAATGTATAGTGATTGAGAGAGTGGATGAGTGAGGGGATGGATAAGTGTGTGGATGGATGGATGGATGAGTGAGTTAATGAGTGAGTGGATAGATAGATAAGTGCGTGGATGCAGGGGCGGATGCAGGATTTGAAAGAGGGGGTTCAAAATGTTCCAAAAAACCGAAAATGAAAGGGGGGTCCACGGGTCCTCCCCCGGGAAAATTTTGATTCCTAGATGGCCGGAAATGAGCTTTCCCTGAGGTGTCTTTTATTGACCTTTTATTTCTTCAAAATTCGAGGTTTTTCCTCTCTTAAAAAAAAGGTCAGGTAATTTTTATATCATTCTTAGGCATACACAGAGAGAGGGAGGGGGGGGGAGAGAAAACACACATAGGAAAAGACATAGGCAATATATTATTATATTCCAACAATATAGAGTAGGCCTAATTGGATACGTAGTCTTTCTTCCAGGAGATGAACCGATAGGTCTGAAGAACGCACTTTCATATATAAATTAGTACGACGTCAAACCAAATTTTAATATTATTTAATTGAAAGCTAGTTGGGCTAAGCCTAATTTGTCCGATCTGCTACATGATGCCTAATTGGTAGGTTAGCATGGCTTTTGTAAGCCAGGACCAGTAGTATTTTGTTGTTTCTTCACAGGGACGTAGCCAGGATTTTGAAAGGGGGGTAGCCGTTAGACGAGGTACGTTTGACACCATGGGGTTCCAAGGGCGAAGCCCCTGGAAAGTAGCGCATCTGAAAGTTTTTGGGGCTGTTCTGAGATGATAAAGTGAAAATTGCAATAAACGCATCATAAATAATATTAGTAAGAATAACAATAATATAAAACTCAACAGTGGTGGATGCAGGAATTCAAAGGAAGTGGCCCGGGGAGGGACTTTAACAGATTAAGGAACCACCCACCTCAGCCCCACCATGGTTGGGGGTGAGGTAAGAAAATGTATGATTAGGGCACCTCTAGATGACCGAAAATTACACTCTCAGACTTAAAATTTGGATTGGGATAGAGGGCCATATTTTATTTCATTAAAAATTTGGGGGGGGGGGGGACATTGAATCCACCACTGCTCAAAACATTCTTTATCCAAAATACTGTAGTCATAATCACGAAAAATGGGCATGTAAAACCAGATCCTAAAAACAAGTTTATTCACTCCCGCATCATCAGCAGCCACTAGGACATACTCGAGTCACGTGTCTACTCAATGGAGTTTAATGTCATAACAAAGAAGGGCACAATCTGTTTTGAAAGGTGGAGGTGAGGTGGGGGGACATTTTTTGAGTCCAACTGTCCCAATAGCTGGCTACGACATTGATTCATATACTCAAAATGAAGCGCCAACAAATTTCTCATGATCTTTTATCAGGGATTTTCGGCAACCATAGAGATCTTTAATATGTGTGATGTACCATAGAAAATAAAGCTTCTAAACATTGTTTTTAATTATGTACGTTATATACTTCAAAGAAGTGATTTCACAACCACCACAGCCCCACCATGTTTGGGGCTGAGGTGCGAAAATTTGAGGAAATAGTACCTCTAGATTGCCGAAAATGACACATCTATATAGTAAAATTCATCGTCATTACATCACCATTATATAGTCAAAATGAAGCGCAAACAATTTTTTCATATTTCTTTTATCAGGGATCTACTTAATATCCAAACAACTTAGGCCTAACTATAGCTTTCTAAGCTTTAACTATATTATAATAATTGTGATCAACAAATCACAACTTAGGCCTACTTTTTCGCCGTTAGCACAATTTTCTTCACTTTTTAATATAACTAACATTATTATCTATTATCACCATCGTCGTCATCATCATTGTCATCATCATAATTATTATTTTTATTAACTATTAGTACTGTAGTATTAAAATAAAACTTTATAGAGCTTGCAAAACGATAAAAACCAAACTGAACCATACAATATCACATTTCTGTATCTGAAAAACCTGGCCTGGGACTTACGGATTTAAGATTTTTAATAATATATGTGTTATTATAGTAGGCATATGTATAATAACGTGTGCTGATGAATATTTACATAGATTAGAAGTATTTATTTTGAGTGATCCTTGGAAAGAATTTGTATTGGCTAGCAAAAAAAAGCTTTAAAATTTTAACACTGTGTCAAGGGGGGGGGGGGAGCCGCGGCCCCCACGGCTCCCCCCCCCCCCCCCTGTATACGTCTCTGTTTCTTCACGGAGGGGGGTTCGTCCGAACCCCTTGAACCACCACTCCCCCCACCCCCGATCCGCCACTGGAATGAGTGAGTGAGTGGATGAATGAGTGGATGAATGGATAAATTGGTTTGAATACGATGATCCAATTTATATTTCAGTTTGTGTTGCTTTATAATTGTATGAACTGGAGCATGCCAAAATACAATGACGAGTTGTACCCACTTTGGGGACGTGTCATTGGCTGGGTCATCATTGTACTCACATCGTCTTTATTTCTTTGGTTATGATTTACATAGGCATGATATACGGTGTACGGTAAGAATTGCCCCGGAAAAAATGGCCCATGAAAAAATAGCCCCGGAAAAAATGGCCCCGGTAAAAATGGCCCCGTTAAAAATGGCCCCAAATGACAGGTAGGTAAAAATGGCCCCAATAATAAAATTCTGTACTAAAACTGGTTTTTTTTAAATCATTATATGCATTTTTTTAAACTGAAATAATTTAGTTTTTAAAAAAGGAATCGAACATCAAATAAATTGCCATTTACATTTTACTTTTTGCAGAAATTCCCTATTTAATGAATATGCAAAAATAACACTTTTTATTTTTTTCCAGTTAAATGTTAAAAAATAACAACAACATAATCAATAAATCAACATAAATCATGCATTTATATATACTAAAATAATTTATTTGTGGCCAATTTCAAAGAAGCGGAATCACAATTTTCCAGAAATTCAATCCGGGTATTGGTAAACCCCACAAACAATGAGTTTATATGAACATCAAATTATTATTTTTTTATTTTTTAGAAAAAGAGAGTTCTACAATCGTAATTAAAGGGTTTGGATGGGGTTCGCAGTGTGTTTGGAGGATTGTGGTGTATTTGCAAGTATGTTTTCACCAAAAAAATCAACATTTTAACCAAAAATAGGTTCTTATAAATATTTAATTTTCTTTTTGATATACCAAGTGAGTCAATAACAATTGAATTGTTTGGTTTTCTACAGTGTGTTTTATGGAGGTTTTGAGGATTTAGCAATACCATTTGATCCTACCATAATAGTCTGGTTGTAAAACTGCTGAAATGAACATTAGCGGGAAAAAAGTAAAGGAAAATTAATTTTTAGTTTTTCTGAATCCACATACCCTATAGTGTCTCAGAAAAAAAATCCCCATGCCTAGGGCTTGGGCAATTTTTTTTACAGCACTTTGAAATTTTGACCTAAAATACCCTAATTTAAACTATTTAAGATGGGGGTAGGGGAAATAAATTTATGCTTTTGGTCACTTTTACATATACTGTGGATATGAAATGTAACAACAACTTGGCTAAATAGTTACTCATCACTCTCATTT